TCTTGGCCTTCTACCAACCTCTTCTTCATACAGTTTATGGAAGAATCCTTGAGCTTTATCCCTCATTCTTTCATTACCCTTTATGTTGTGGTTGTCAATCATCAGTTCTTCCACATAGTTACACCTTCTCCTACGATTGGCCAAGCAATAACAACATCTTGTATTTCTATCGTCTTCCTTCAGCCATCTTTTTCTTCCCTTCTGTCTCCATGATATTTCCCCTATATGAAGTCTATTAGCCAAGTTCGCGCTCAGAGATTCTCTTCTAGCTGCTTTTTCCAGAGTTAACTAACATTCTCCTTCCTTTTGGTCAATGTCTTCAATTGCTAGAAAAAGTGTTAGTACATTCTTCTTCTCTTACCTCCTCCTTACTTTCAAGGTTATAAGTTTTTAGCAATCTTAAAACTTTCTTTCCGATTCACAATAATATCATTCTATCTTTTTTCAATCATACATCGAGAACTCTCCACCTTTAGCCATTTGTTATCAAGTCTAAATGAAATAGGACCCATTATATTCCATTTGAAGCAATGCTCATTGGAAAATGGTCAGATATAGACATTTGCAATACTTTTTGGCACAAACCTGAAAACTGAATCAGGAAATCATATGACACTAGAAACTAATCAATTGTCGAACAAGAAGGCCTACTTCTTTGATTTGTCACATCCACTTGCCCCCCAACAAATGTAAGTCCATCAAATTCAACTTGTTTGATGCTTTGAATTCATTGCCACACGCTCTAGAGAAATGTTCAACCGACCTCTCCTTATGCCTCAACACATATTAAAATCCACGTCCACAACCCATTTACTACCTCATTTTTTCTTACACTCCTCCAACTCCCTCCAGAACACAATCTTCTTGCTACTAGTTCCCTACAGTACATGTCAATCATTTTACAACTTGTCGATGTTTTGACTAAAAAAAATAAGTAATCCTATATTTCAGACAATTATTGTCAAGCTGAGAATTGATAATATTTATTCACCAGCTTAAGAGGAAGTGTTAAGAAGTACAAATTAGGGTTTCATTAGGGTAAATGGTATATTAATATTATATCCCCAAATCTTTATATCTCTGTAGTTAATATTGTTTCCTTTTGTTATTGTTATTCGCTTGAATATATAGGATTATAATATTCAATGAAATATATAACAATTCATTCTTCCACACAAGTTCCAGCTAACCAGGTATATATTGACTACTTTCACATAAACATCTACTAATATATGCTCTATAGTTGCATGAGTTCATGCCATATACAATCAAACTAATGCCTAATTTATTTCAAAGAGTTTGTGTCTAAGATTTCAACTTGCAATCAACAACACAAAAATGCAAACTTAAGCTGCTGAAAACCTATAGTCCTATAAACATGGATATTGGTGCACGTAATACAAAGAACAAAATTAGATTTCGGCATACCTGCAAAAATTCACATATAACAGAAACAAAGTCACGAAGCTTTTGCATAAATATGTACTTCTCACCAGCAGCAGATAGAGATTTCTCAAGTGCAATAACATTCAATTGAGAAGCTGACAAATTTTCATCCATCTTTGTAATCGATGAAATGGCTCTACCATGGGATTCCTTCAAAGACAAAATATGTGTGAAGTAAGCACAACTATTTGAATATTGGCAGATAGATGTTTGACTAGTTAAAAGCAAGTAACAACATATCTCTTGGACATGCCAAAACTTAGACTTAGAAACCACAGTTATGCATTTATTGTAAATGCATCACTGCGAACATACAATTAACAAGTACTTCTAAGAAGACCTAAGAAGTCTTTGGCTTAGCTTAGAATATATGAGCTTATAATTTATAGTGCTTACAAGCTCTTCACTAACTAGAGTCTTTGACTTAACACAAAACATAGGAGTTACTGACTCCGTAGAGTATAAATTCTTCAATAGTGTATTTGGTAAATATTGGTGAATTTTTTACAAATAAACAATTAAATTGTTTGGGTCACACAAGCTTATAAACCGTATTAGTACTTTTCAATACCAGAGTTTTAAAAAAAACACCAACTACCAGCTTTCCCAACACGAAAGAGCTTAAAACTACGAAGCTTATTAGCTCTTCATTAATTGTTAAATAGAATTCAGAATTTTTTTAGAGAGCTTATAAGCTCCCTTTGACCAAAATTTAAGCCAACCCAAGCACTCTCTAAAGCTGTATAAACATTACACTGTTAAAATGCTTGGTCAAAATCATATTTATATATTATTATTGATTGAATAAACAATGAAAAAGATAGCAAGGGTGTTTTCAAAAAAATATTTAAGTTTGTGTTGTATCATCTTTTTCTTGTTCAATACCAACTTATTTTAGAGAACTCCTTAACTCCCTAAAAAGAATACTACAACAGCACCTTTTAGAAACTTCAAAAATCGGATATTGATTATAGCTTAGGCATGGGCGTGGTTGCAACTTGAAAACTCCTACAGATTATAGCATGAATGCCTGAATAAGCTACCAGAACCATTAATTGGGTCAATTTTCAATTGCATCACAAAACTAAAAAATTGAGAAACTCCCAAAATATTATTTAATACTTGAATGCTCCAAATCCACCATATAGGATCCGGGGGGGGCGCCGCCTGAAGGGAGAGAGAAGCAAGATACGAGAGGAAGGAAGAGGGGCTTTGTTGAGGATGGTCAGGTCCGCCAAGAGGGCTAGCCGAAAGGAAGGAAATGAAAACAAAGGGGAGAAAATTTGTGGTCATTGACAAAAAGTCGTTTGATATTGTAAGTGAGCGGTGTCAGGTGGAAGGGGT